CCCCCCCCCCCCGCCCAAATCACTGTAGCATGTAAACAAAGTGTGTGGAGTTGACTATTCTAGATTGAGAGACTAAGGAGACCAAATCAAATGTAGTGCATGAAACATAATTAGATACCGAATTTAAAAACACTCACACACACACAACATGTGGGGAGCAATGAGAACATTCAACAAGAGCATATATTAGGCGATATTTAGATACGAAAGTTGTTAACCAACTACAGAGATGCCTGCTGAAGTACTTAGGAGTGCAGTGTCATGATGTCTGTAAATTTCAGATTCAGAAAACAAATGTGGGCATATAAACGTGTCCGTGTATGTGTGTGACAAGGCACATATTGCAAAAGGTTAAAAATTGATGGAATTAAGTGATGGATAGATGGGTGTTCACTGTACTATTTTCTCAAATTTGTTTTTGTTTGAAAAACACTTTAAATTAAAACAAAAATGCAACCAAAACAAAACATGAGTATCATCTTACCTGTTGCATTCTGTGCTCCTGCCAGCCTGGCTCTTATTAAGCCGTGTCTCTCTTTGAGGTGAAGAATCCGAACTTTTGGAAACTGAGACATGTATTTGTCCAAATTATCTTTTAGATAGTCTATTTCAGAGTAAGGACAAACAGGGAAATACTTTAATTAACTAGCTCTGGATAGTACCAGAAGAAGTCCCTCCCCAACCGCCGTGTCAAATTCCAAAACTACGGCATTACTATGGCCACTAAATTTATTCAGTGGGCCTTTTTATTGAAAGGATTTTATGTGGATTCAATATTCTAAGGTGTCTGATTTCTCAAACCCCAAATCCTTCTTTTCATTGTTACAAAATTGGAAGGCTCATCTTTTCTGAGTATTTGTCAAGGCAGGAGCAGATTTACCTTAAAATAAATGAAGCTTAGACTTCCTCACAATGCCTCCCCAACCCCCACCCCTTGCAGAGACCTCCTCCAACACCCAGGGGAGAGGCTAAGCAGTGTGTGCAAACTGTAAAATTTGCAAAAGAAAGCTAGTGTAACTGTAGCTGGTTAAGATCATGGTCATTTCCTACTTTAACATCTCCTCTAAACACCTTTCCTCTCTTTTTCAATGGCTATAGAGGGATCCAGCTAAAGGAACATTCTGGGGCTTTTACAGGGTATACTTATGTGGTTTACAGTCACTTCTGTTCATAATTAAGCTATTGACAGCTATCCCAGGTAGGAATGGCTTCCAAAAATACTTTTGCTGCTTACTTTCCTACTAATTTTGTGTTCTTTTTCTTAGAGAGGACCCTGCAAACTGCATAAGCTTCGGGTCCCACAAAATCTGGATCTGCCCTGCATAAAGGGACTTTTATATGCTTAGTAATTGAATACTATTTCTGTTTATGCTTTTAAGGCCACTTCTTAAATTTTTCAACCAGTTTTCTTTCCTCTGGCATCTCACTGCTTCTTGAGCTTGGTGGGATTATGATAGGAATTCTGAGGCTAAAGAAACTGGCTCATGTCACAGTGGTCACAGACCAAGGCTAAGCTGTTTGGTTAATGTTGCCATTTCTTTGCTATTTTCTAAATTTCTGAAATGGGTTGCATTTTAGGAATTCAAAATGTGCAGTCAGAGGACCTGTGAGACCATCTACATACACAAGTTATTTGACAACCCAGAGTGAGATTCTTTGCTGTAATAAACAAAAACAAACTTAAAGCCCATGGTAGATTTTGCTTTTGAACTCTGTTGGAACCATGTGTGTCTGGTACCACTGGCAACTTGTTTTCTCCAAACTTAACTGAACATAGTATGCCTTGGTCTTGAGGAAGAAGCCATAGGATTTCCATTTCTTGGCTTTCCATAGAGTATAACTCTAATTCTAGTTACAAGTAGGGAAGGTATCCTATTAATTGTAGGGCATTTGCTTATCAGATTCCATAAAAAGGATTTGTGCAATTGTAGAGAACATCTTCTGGACTCTGACACTTCCAAGTGCCCATCTCCAAGGAGCTGTAGTTAGAAAATCTCTTCTCCATGGCAGGGGAGTCACAGACAGTTCCTCTGAGGGGAAGCCTGAGATTAGCTAGCTGAATAGAGTCCTGGATGACTTTTAATATCCCATAGATGCTTAGATGTATGTCTCTAAGGCTCTGCATAGAACAACAATTTAGCATTTCTAAAATGTTTGTGCAGTCAAATCAAGCTGTAATTTTGCCATCTAAACTGCTATTGTCTCTACCAAACTTTGACTTTTCAGAAGGAAGCCTGAGTGGTTTTCTTACCTTTGGTGCTGAAGTCATCCACCAGCAGAATCTCCTTGATGAGATGTGGAGGAGAGCGGTTGAGGACACTATGAACAGACCTCAGGAGAGTGGACCACACCTCATCCACAAAGCACATGATGACACTGGTGGTTGGGAGGTTATTGTGAACTAGCTGCTCTGCACACCTGGGCCAGAATATAAGCAGAGCACAAGAGATATTTAAACAAAATCCATATGTTCATTTTAAAAGTCATAGTGGAATTATGTGCACACACACACACATGCTGATGTTTATCTATCTCTCTATCATCCATTTATATATCAATGACTATTATATGATTTTATCATGTGCCTTTTCTTGGTGAGGGGTACATGCAAAATAAAAGAGCGGAAGAACAATAACCAGTAATGGTAATTGCTGTAAAGGAACTTACAATGCAAGACATGAGAACTTTCCGTGGTGGCATCACTCTGCTGTGGGAAGGACATGGGCTTTACAGGTGATTAGACAATATTTTACATTCTACCACCTATCTCAGATCTTTAACTGTTAATACTTTCCTTAGTCACTCTGAGCCTCAGTTTCCTTATATGAAAAATGAGGTGATAATACTTAATAGAGTTTTATAGCCTAGTGGTAATGCACATAAAAAGTCTAGCACAGTTCTTGACACAGGAATTCACTAAATGGTAGCTTCTGTTATCAGTATTAGATTTAAATGGTATCTTCTGTTATCAGTATTAGATTATATACTAAAGGAGAGCATTTTAACTTAAAGTTACCGAGTAGTTTATGATTGCCCTTCCAACTTGGCCATCTGCCAAGTGACAAAGGATATATTCTTTCTCCCACTCTGCATGTGAATATGTTTATAGCATAATATATGCCAAATAATTAAACTTTCTTCAGCTTCCCTATATGAATGGGGTTTTCTTGCTGAGACTCAAGGAGTAGCTGCCGTAGAAATCATTTTGGGGGCATAGAAATGAGAACAAGGCTACTGTGGGAGTCAGGGTAGGTAGGTTGCAACTGGTCTTGAGTTTTTTCCAGGCTCTGCAGTTCACACTGCCTCACTGCTGACATTCTTCCGTCTCCTGCCTGTGTTATTCTTCACAAAGCAGTGCCCAGTGGACACTCACAAAGAGTATTTACCATCCTGCTAATACAGCTATTTTTAGTTATATAAAAAAAATTGATGATGATGGTCATAAATACATATTATAATCACTCTGCATTATTTCAGTTGAAACCTCAAACCACCAGCATCTCTTTCCTTTTTTATAGATGAATAATTGAAATCATAGAGAGACTAGTCCTTGACTATATTGTTAGGAAATGACAGAGCTGGGACTCAAACTCCACTCTAATCTGGCTCCAGAAGTAAACATGCAGGAAGTCTTAAGTCCATAAGAATATGAGCAGCTGGCAGTAGATGTGGCATTTTGTGGAGCTGGTGCTTCTGCCAAATAACATGGCTACACTTTGATTATTCCATAAATAAGAAATAGATAAGAGTGAAAACTATAGTAAAACAAACCAAGTTTGCATAGCACTTTATTTATAGATGGCAAAATACTATTATGTACACAATTTAACTTAATCTTAGCAACAACTGCTTGAGACATATAATATATACATTCCTTTAAACAGAGCAAACTGAAGCTTTAGGAGTTAAGTGGCTTACCACATATTATTCATCTAAAAAGCATGTATATGAGAAAGTGAACAAATATAGTTTTCATTCCAATGCTAGTTTTTCTGTACTAAGAACATGGATTTTGGAATCAGATATGTGGTCAAATATCAGTTCCTCTAATTACTGGCTTGGAGAAGTCATATAACTTCTTTGAATCTCAATTTGCCAACTACAAAGCAGAGATTAAAAATCCACTTGTAAGATTAAATATAAATATTATATAAAACTCACCAAGTATATATATGACATGTAGCAGGTACTTAAGAAATGGTAGACAAATTCAGCTAAGCTCTGTAATTTCAGTGGTTCCTTAAAATAGTTGGTTATACTAACCAATAAAGCCTTAGGAAAACATACATATCTAATCAGACCAGAAAATTAATTTGGAAGGTTTGCATAGGGCTTGAGAATATGTGTCTTAAAAAATACACAAACAAAATAAAACAAAAAACCCAAACAAAAAAATGACTAACAAGTTGTCAATATGCCAGTTTGAGAACTTGAGCTCTAAGATAAAGTTAATTTATTCTTCTATTATTTGTAGCTAATCTTAAAAAAATAAATGAGTGCTGATAGGAACATGTTCTAAATTCTCAAGTGATATAACATAAAAATAACACAATTTGACCTGATATCTTGATCTAGTGATCAGGTACCTAATGTTACCATGAAATAGGAGGCTACCTAAACTAATCTTATTCTACACAAAGGATCAATGCATTGGCATTTCTGAATATTATGAGATATTCCTGACTTCATTTAAAGGCTGTTTTACTTTCTGATGGCTGCTATAAGACATTACCCAAAATTCTGCTTAACAGTTACTTCCTCAATATATTTCTTTCCTCTCACATTTTACTATGAACAGAAAGCAGATACCAGGGCACACCTTCAACACTTTGCTTGGTACTCTCCTTAGCTAAATATCCAAGTTTATCACTTGCAAGTTTTGCTAATTTTCAGGTGACTGTAGGACACAATTTAGCCAAGCTTGCCACCACTATGTAACATGGATCACCTTTTCTCCAGTTTGCAATAATGTGCTCTGTATTTCCTTTTTGGCCTTCACAAGAAGCACTTAAAATGTTCATATTTTTACCAACATTCTGTTCACAACAATATATATACTCTCAAAGATGATAGCAGATTTCTCTACTGCCTTCTAAGCCTGCATCTATAATATCCACATTTCTACCAATAAGCTCTTGAAGACAATCTAGGTGTTTTCTATCATGCTTCTGAAATTCTTTGAGCTTCTATCCATTATTTAATTTATTAGATATTACTTGAATAACACTTCCATATTTTTAGATATTTGTTACAGCAGCACCCCACTTCCTGATACCAAAATCT